TGTGTGTTTGAAAGTCCCCTGCTGTTAGCTCTCTTAACACGGCTCTATGAATGTCAGTGGACGCCACTTTAACCTACTCAAACATCATGATCACACCGTTAACCAGGGTTGTTGCGGTTCTAACAATGAGATGATCTTAAACCTCTGGTTCACTGTATTATAATAATTTACCAGAACAAACTAACAGCACAGGACGTCTGCAGTGTTTCACCACTCACTATAAGGGGACTTCTATTTCATCGTCGCGACTGAATTCACCACTTTGCATAATTTCACAGATGTTCAGTTTTCAGTTCAATTTTTAATGCAAAACAACGTCTTCCTTTCTGTGACTGCTTTTACCTGTGTGCTCTTGAGAAAGGCACATCATGCCCACACAGCCCCATTCAAGCTGTTATTTGGTTCTTTCCAGTTAATAAAACAATTTCAAGTTAATATTTCCTTTTTATTGTCAAATGCTGTGTTTATTATAGCCACATATTTGAAAAGCTAAAAGAAAAAGGTTTCCAAACAGAATCTTTTTATGTCCTTCCTATGATGAACAAATTCCTTAACATACTGTTGTAGCACATTGTCTATAGTTGTTCTCAGAAATGACACAGTAGCTGCACAAGCTGAGGACTGAAGTAGCAGAGAGGAGGGGAAAAAAGTATAGATGAGAAAATGGAGATCCACTCCCTTCAGATCCCATTTAGAGAGGCCCTGCACATTTTTAAAGTGTCAATTGTTTTTGTCTCTTGAAGTGTAGATGGAATGTTTGAATTCCAGTATTAACTGTAGTGCCTGCTGAGTTAAATTATGGTCCCTGGGCTGTGGGGTGGGAGTAATCAATAAGAATACACGAGGCAGTGTGTAATGTGTCTGCTCCTAGCAGCAGGGACACTGTCCCCCTTACCCTGTCCCCCAGCAGGTTAGATAAATATGATACTGAAACAGGGCACACTGGATTATATGATATCAATGTAGAATCAGGGAAGTGCTATTACACTCCCCTAGCCCACTGCGAGTACTATTGACAAGGTTGGCTTTGAACACGGTAGTGTACTGCTCTCTCTCTCTCTCTCTCTCTCTCTCTCTCTCTTCTGTTTCCTCTCTTTTTTCCTCTTGTTCTCTTTCTCTCTGCATAATGTGAAGAACCACAGGAGCGACTGGATCTATATGTCACTTGGCTTTGATTAAAATCGCTATTTTATGCTTGTGTTCTGAAGCCGTGTTTACTGCAGCTACGAGTTAATACGAAGGGCGTGTTGTGGTCATAATTTGTAAATGTCCAGATTTTGTTTTACTTTATTTATTTATTGCATAAACCAACCGGTAACATAATGTAGAACTGGATCTTTTCCCTTTTGTTATGTTGACTCTGTTACATGTCCAACCAGTTATGTGGAAGCTGTTGTTTGGCTGCTTACTAGTTGCTCATACAGTAACCTCATATCACTGATCTACTCAGACTATTGATTACTCTCTCTCCTCAGCAGAAAGGATCAAACTTGGCATGTCTAAAAGGCCATTATCAGCATCCACTTCAGATAACCTTCTATAACCTGATACAGCCCGTCTCACAGGTCACAACCTCCCCATCGTCTCCAGCCACCCCCCCATCATTAGCATTTTTGTGTTAAATGACATACAGGTAAAAAAAAAAAAAACTGCCGTGTTGATGTCTCACATGTGAGTAATAGATGTTGCTGCATAACATCTCCTGCAAAATGTCACGCTTCTGCTTCATCAAGTAGACTTCAGCTTAAAAGTCAATGCACCGTCTGAAAAACTGTTAAAGATGAATTCATTTCTCCAAATTCAATGTAATGTACTGTAGGTGTACTGTCAGCTCCTAAATATCACTTCCGTGAGCATTTTACTAGGAAAAAACACTGATAGCAGACAGAGAAATTTAATTAAAGGTTTAGAACAGAAACCCTCAGTCTTCATTTGTACACTTCATTTAGACAATCAGTCGTTCCTTTATTTCAATTAAGCCCCTAATAAGTGTGACAGGGTCTCGATTGGTAGCACTGTTACACTTTCCCAAAGTGCATTTTGCATTCTGAGAGGAATCTAAATATTAAAGCATTTTTAGGCCAGGTATTAGTGACATCACAGTTGCTTTTACACAAAAGATTTGGCAGAAGCTGATTAGCATAAGGTCAGAGTCAAGCTCCTGATGGAAGTTTTGCAGCATCTCTGTCTCTTAGCAACACTCGTTCTCTCTTGGTATCTGCTGAATTGACTGGCCCTTAGCATTCATCTTTCACCAAGAAAATTCATAATGAAATGCCACCCGGCAACCTACATCTGTCGCCGACAGCCAACCCTCACTTCCCTCTTGTTTGCTGTACTTTTACACTGAAATTGATAAACCAGCACATTGTTTGATGGCACAGAAGATGAGCATTTCACTGCTATGTGTTCATTCTTGTTCAGATTTGCAGGGACTTTGATTTAAAGGGGTGTAAACATGTTTATTAAGAATTGTGCTAAGATTAGAGGCAAATTAGCAGGTAATTGGAGACACCTGCTAAACAAAAGGAAGGATGGAGAGGTGGTGGTGTGGATAGTGATAAAGGAAGAGACCGGGCTTCTGGGCTGGCCTCTACCCATTTATTGGTGGGAAGGCATTTAAAAAGAATGGATTTGGTATGTTGAGAAAATGACTTTTGCACTCCTCCATGGTGACAGGATCCTGCCAAAAGATGTTAATAGAGGGTCAAATCATGGACAATAGTATCCATCACTGCTTTCACAACTGCCTCTATTCTCCAAACTGAGCGCTTTCTCTGGTTAAAAGAAGAAATGTGCTCCAATTACTGTTTTTGGCAAAGGCAGCCAGCCATAAACTATACTGTAATTACAGCTCTGATGAGGATTTCTATCATCTTGGCCGCTTTGGACACACGTGGTCTTTGCCCAGCACGTTGAAACTTTCTGTGAAAGGTCGGAGCCATAAACATTTATCAGCCACTCCTTCATATCATCTTTTTTTTTTTTAAAGAACTGCTTCTTCTATGTCGAACTCGTCAACAACATCCAAGTCATGACAGGTGCTGGGCGGACATTAAACCTGCTGTTTTCTGTGTCCAAGTCCGTCCTGTTTCACGACTCATTTCCAGGCAGAATCTGGCTCTGAGGAAACTGTGTCTGTGCACTGGGAATTATTTCAGCTCTCCCTGCTGTTGCACCCAGATACACATGCACTCTTAAACTCGCCCATGTCACCGCAATACTGGAAAATAATAATAATAATAATAATAATAATAATAGAAAGGAATGGAAACAGGTCGCGTTCGCCTGGAGATGTTAGATTCAGTCAGAAATGTGATTAGTAAATATGTAGGCTACAAAAACAAACCAGCAAAATGAAGCTGTTACACCTGGATGAATCATATATGTGACGAGCTACGGAATTTAATTAACAAAAAAGGTATCTTCTGTGTTTTTTTTAACAAATGACAACACGTGGACTATTATAACAGCGCCTATTTTTAATCTTGACCTATTTTGCAAGAAATCGCTGAATGTCCTTTGAACATTCCCTCAACGTAGTTATTAATTGGTCTGTTTTATTCATCTATGTATTTATTTTTGATATCTATGATGCTCATGTAGCACAGCCTAAGACGGTGGACTCCTGGAAACCCTGTGCGCCATGGCGCACCGCGTCCCCAGTGAACAGAGAGGGCTTCCTCTCCTCCTCACTTCCCACGCTGCTGCTCTCCACTGCCACAGATTGTCCACCTCTGTCGCCCCGCGGCTTTAGTGCCTTCAACATACCCAAATGACTAACAGCAACCTTTAACGGCAACTTAATATGTCCCCCCAGACTCATGCAAAGCTGTGTAAAACTGCACTTGCGTGGTAAGTTGTAAATAACACACCTTTTTTATGTGAAGCCTATCGCTTGATCCATGTGTGTGACAGACAGAAGTTGCTCTATCTGTCCATCTCCGGATCACGGACACACCAAAAGAGGTCTAATTTCTGAGACATTCAGCTGGGATATGTCTCAATTGGGCCTGAGATCAGAGGCTGTGATTGTCTATTGGTTTAGATGGGGTTGCTCAGACCAATTCTGGGAACTTTTATTGCAATCTACAGATTGTAATGATGGAGAGCCCTCGATGTGGCAGCGCTGATTACATCAGCCAGCCTCCGTGTCCACCTTTCATCTAATGTATTTATTCTTTCTGTGCGAGCTTCGACTATACAGCTTCTATACGTCTTTGGTTTTCTTCATATAGAGATGGACTCTCCATTACTGGCGGCAAGATTTTAATTTTTTCATTTAATGATTAATTAGAAAACAGACTAAGTTCGTTCGTTTGTTTACACTATGTTAAAATACATTTCTTACTTCCGGTTGGCCGCTTCAAGCACTAATGAGTTGCAGAGACTTCCTCCCTGAGAGGAGACTCCTCCTCACCCGTTTACTAAATAATGTTTCCATGCAAAGTTACTGCAATAGAAAATACTACTAGTATAACATTCGCATTACAAATGTTACTAAAGTTATGAATAATGTTCTTAAAGCAACTAAAAGTGAAAGTCATGCCTGTGAATGGTATATTATTATATTCTATAGGTCTACTATCTCACTGGATTATTATGCATTAGCCCAGTGCAGCATTCTACTGTTGTAATACTGCTGTTATAAAATTATTGTATATTACTATTGGATTGTTTAGTCTAAAACAATGTATTTTGTTAATAAACTCTTAAACTGTAAAGTACTTACTGTAGTAACTTAAGATGCCAGATAAATGCAGTTTTATTACTTGTAAAAGGGTGAAAGCATAAAGTAGAATTGAATGAATATACTCAGGTAATGCAAAGGTAATTAAGAATTAAGTACTTAAGTAACTTGTACTTGGTCTGTAAATGTGCTGCTTTATGCAGCCAGAACCACACTGCATTGCACTTTTACTGCATAATGTTGTACATCACTGCATGAAACTGTTCTTATGTTTCATATCCTCTTTTGCTTCTTTTGCTTCTTTTGCTAGTCACTGCCAACATCGCTGGATTCCAGCAGACTTACTCTCTGAATAGTTTTCCAGAGCAGAGATGGGAGAGGTAATCAGATCTCACAAATTAATAAGAAAACACACTGCAAAGTCAAAGCACAGAAGTACTACCAGTAAAAGTACTCATTAAGTAGAATGGGTGACTGCACTGTTTCATTACTATCAACTGGATATTAGTACTGATACACTGACAGTGATGCAGCTGGGTAGTTCAGTTTATACCAGTGAAGCATACAGTATCATGTAAACTAATCTTCACAGGCGAGTAACTGTAAAATTAATATAGTTGTCTAAATGTATAAGCTAGCATGATATAGAAATATAGTACTTGAGTTACTTTGCACCACTGCAGCTGACTGGAAATCAGACTCATCTGTCTCCAGGTTGCGATCTGCATCAGCATGTGATTCCCAGCGTGTTCTTAGGAGAACCGGCTCTGTGACATATGGAGATGCTCGCCGCCGCAGCCACACCTGGCCGACTCTCTCCTCTCTCTGTACAGATGATATCACAGCGCTAACTGCGACAAGATTCCCACAAGGCTCTCCTTTACAGTGAAGCATGTCATCTGACCGTGTCGCCCAGCTAAACCCAAATATTGTGCATCGTTGGTAAAGAAAGGTCAGACAACTTGTGAGTCGGGTATTACAGGTTGTGTTCTCTAATTAAGTATTCATAAAGCAGCAGTGGGAGCACAGTATAGGTTTACATGACAGTGGTGGTTCCCCCTCGCCCCATATGTAATGCTTGGCTTTCTCCCCACGGGCAGACAGGCCATCAGTCCTAGTGTACTTCCAGCAATGATATCAAAAAGGTTTTTTGGTCAAGCCAAAGAGAGGTCACTCTAATAATACCCAAGGTCAGTGGTGGGAGCCAGCAAGTCTCCCAGTCATTATTCATTTGTTCACAAAGTTAATGACAGTTGCAGGGGAACGAGAACTTGGAGCCAGTAGCCATGTGATGTCACTAACACATGCCAGGGGATTAGGAGGGCAGGCAGAGGACAAGGAGTGTGGATTATACAAGGGGGAAAAAAAGCCACCTTTACTGCTCCATCACCCAGCTCTTCATGTTTACTGCTGGAGTTATGACAAATACATGGAGAGATCACTGAATCATGACAAGTGGATGATACTGAAACAAACACATCAAAGAAACGCTGTAGTAGTAATAATAAGAGTTTTATTTATTCAGCTTGAATGTTCTGTTGAAAGATATTTCACATGTTTAACGCCCTCACCTTGAAGAGAGAACATGCTGCTAAGCCAGTCTCCATCATTCATTTACAGCCTTTTGGTAAATGACAAAATATTGTGGATGTTTTTATGGTGAGAGGTGATCCAACGATTTCAGCCTCTCTAATTTACTTCCCTTTAACAAATGACAGTGTTTCATAGTCACCACATTATACGTGATGTTGTAGTGAAGCACAGAGACAACACTGGCAGGAAAACTGGAGCCTGTGGCTTTCACACAGAGAGAATGAACAATGAGCACACCTTATTCAGTCATTGGGCAGGCAGCGCACAGTGAACAATGAACCCCTCCCTCCTGTCTAGCACCATGTCTGATAATGACCACATCCACCGCCGCTGATAGCGCTCCTCTTTTATGACCTACATGTGCATAAATACGGCTCAAATAAAACATCCAGGAAGGGTTTTGAGCATTTGGTGAGCTGTGCACAAGTAGCAACAGACACTGTATTTTTCTTTCTGTAAATAGCCATATGTTGCATATCTACCTACAGTACTGTACCCACCACGAAGTGAAACTGTATGGTTTTGTTTCCTGCACCAAAAACGCACCTTATGTTTCATCTAAATAACAATTAGCCAAAGCCTTTGTTGCAGATCAGCTGTTAAAAGAGTGCTGTCTTGTTCCTTCAGTTACATCTGCTAAAGAATAACCTGCATTTTGTCAAATGCAGGAATCTGCCTTTTTGGCCTTTGTCTCAGCAGCTAACATGTAGTGGATCCCCTGTTTGAGCATAAGGTCAGAGTATAAATATGAACTGCATTTTGCATTACTTTCAGATGAGTGAAGCTGTCAGACTAATAATATGAGCTTTCAGTCCTACTTTCTGCCACTTATCCCCCATTCTAGGACCAAGGGGTCATGTGAAAATTGAAAATGACAGTCAAAGCAGCATGTTGAACAGGCTGATTGGACCGCGCTGTCATCGTCCAGATCAGAGCTCTTTAACACCAGGCCTATCAGACGCCTTCCTCTGTGGAAGCCACTGGATCCCAGTAAGAAAAATAAAATGCTTTTGAAGGAAAGAAAATATCACTAAACCAAAAATTGTTGGTGTACTGGAAACCGAGAATCAAAACAGCCCCACAGATTATAAAAGCGGTCTACACAACAAACTGAAAACGATTCCACTAATTAACAAGAAAGGCAAAGTTTTAATCAGTTGTCTAAAAAACTTAACGGCAAAAACAAAAGCATCAGAGTTCACTGAGGGGCTTCTCTCTCCGACAGGATTCAGCTCTCGTTTCCAGTTTCAGCTGAATGAAGTCCGGTGGTTTTCCTTTGTGGCCGTTTGAATGAAAATGTTTGTATCACCTGTTTTGCAGATGATTTAATGAGCGCACAATGCTGTCACATGAAAGAATTTTTTTACTCCATCGAAAGCATTCCCTGTCAATTTATATTTTGTTTCATATGCAGCATTGCATGAAGCTCTGTCGCAAGCAATCAGCTCTCTGTCAGCCATTCAGATGATAATAAATCACGTCACTACCACTTCTACTTGGGTCCATCTTTGAAACAGAGGAAGAATGAAATATTTTTGTCAGGTGGGAGAAAAACTTATGATCCTTTTATGTCCTGCTGAGAACCCTTGAAAATAATAATACACCACAGCAGAAACACATGAACGACTGAAAGGCACTGATTGTTATAAATCAGATGGGATTTGCATATTTTGCCTCCCTAACAGGAAGCAGGCAAAATAAATCACATGACTAATGGAGAAAAAAAAAAGGTTACAAAACACACTGAGAAGTTAGGGTTCACAATAAGACAGATATGTTTCTCCAGAATTCACCTGTGATTGAAAATGTGAGGATATGGAGGTAAAAGCTTCTTGGAAAAAAAAAATCATTTTTTTAAATTCTCATATCTGAAAGACTCATAATTTGAAAAAGTCAAATAATGATATAGTTATCATTTGTATATTTGACCTTTGTTCACCTCCCCTTCAGTTCACTTCTCTCTAATGTAATCAGTGAACAAATTTACTTTTACCAGTAAAGTACACTGAAGCTCACCATCAAATCATCCTGGTCCTTGCTTAGTCGGTTAACTTAGGCATCAAAGTGTCAAATCTTGTTTGTCTTTGCTTTGGTGTGAGTTGTGGCTTGCTGTGAAGTGAAGAAGACATTGTCAGACTTGTTGTTAGTTTATCATTGTGAACTGTGCTAGAATATTAATACTATTACATCATGTAGAAGAAGTAGCCAGACTAGAGTCATGTCAGTTCTGGGGTTTTCCTGGACTGCACTGACAAGGGTTATAAGAAAGCTTAAACATCAACTGTCCCAACAGCCTTGAGATGCAAACATCCAGACTTGAAGGAAAAATTCCCAGTGTTGGTTTTTGTCCTGAGCTGTGATTGGTTGAAACAGCTTGACTCAACACTTGGACAAAATTTCCTACAACATGTCTACTGGGGCTTTGCTTTGCAGCAGACTGCTCTGTGTCATCATACATGTCTGGTGTGTGTGTGTGTGTGTGTGTGTGTGTGTGTGTGTAAGAGAGAGAGAGGG